AACGCTCTACTACTCCCTTTAGTAACGCAGCCCATTGTCATTACCGAGTGAGATAGCTGTGTAGTAAATAAACAAGGTATATCTTCTTGACACAGTGAAGTAGGTCGCGATTTGTTCCCGTCAGCGTAGTAAATTCCTACCTCAAATTTCTTCGTACGATAAAATACTAGGGTTCAGATGAATAAATGCTTAAAATTGTATATATTTCTAAAAGAGACCAACTGTGGGTGCTGCGAGGATCAGCGTAGAATATATTCCCAACACAAACTGTTGATAGTTACAAGTTCCTGATGTAGATAGTTGCGATATGCGTATTCATGAGTGGGGGAAAGTACGACATACACAATGTATGAATACAGAGAGCTAACGATTACGCGAACATCGCAGTCCATCTGCAGCAAATGTTAAAAAGTTAAAGTATGTTTTCGTAATACTTGAGAAATAAAGCGGTTCTTGGATCGAAAACGACTATGGAGAATACGGTCGGAGTTGCTGAAACGAGTAACTAGACTTGCGGCTTAAACTCTGTCTTTGCTCGGTGTAGTTTTCTCTGGTACGATTATGAACTTTTATTGTTAACCTAAGCGAGTTTGTCCAATTTGTCATCATAGCAGCTCGAAGTTTTGCAACTTAGCCTGCATTCCTGGTTTCCATCAATAATTGTCAACTCTTCCATCGAATGAAATATAACTCAATGGCTGTATGTTTACAACCTTGCAAATACACAAACCGTAATGTTTTATTAATGCAATTCGTCATCCTCTAAGTTATACCTTACTGAAGGCTATATGTTCTAGTTACAAGTGCGGTGTTGCCAACTGTTGAATGAATTTGATTTGTTGCTTCGCTGCGTATAAACTAGGTTTCAAGACCGTCACTTGCTTTTCTTGTTCGGTAAATTGCTTGCGTTTGTAAAGTAAATAAGACGTTACTTTTTTTACACAGCCTAAGTTTCAATTTGTTGGGATTGTTTCTGTAATTCATTCAAATCCTAAGCTTGTTTAATGAGAATGAATATGCATCCTTTTAGTTAACAATCCTAATGCAAGTGCACAAAATTTGAGAAAGGTTAATGACGAAGCTGAATGACAGCTGCCACTTATTTGACATACCGGAGCGAGGCTGATGCTTTTTCGGTATCGGTTTTAGTCCCCGGGATGCATTGTGACATCATTGTCGAGTGCAGCATTTACCATAACGTTTAACCATTTGTTATCTTACTCGGATGCTATTTAGGTTTGCGCGTGACATTTTGGGAAGTATAGCATCTGATTACCATGTGAATATTTTCATTGATCGGGTCGGTGCAAAATGACAACGTAATTCTCCGGTCGTAAGTTTATTCACAACAAGCGCACAATTAATCATTGTGAGTCAAAATTGTCGACGAATTTTATGTGGAATATGGTTTTTCTTGACTATATTAGATTCCACCCATGCACCACTATTCTGCAAAACTCAGAAACGGCATTAGCAGTACGCTTGAACACCGTAGCGAGGCACCGTTGGCAAGCAGCCACCACCAACCGCGCGTGGGATAAGTATACTGCCCAGCCTCCTTCTGAATCTCGAACCCGTGATCTCCGGATTACAGGGCAGGCATATCGTCCTTTCGGTCACAGGCCGGCCTGCAAAACTAAATATAGGAGCCAAACTAAAGAATTGTTTACTCGATTTACTTTACTGTCATCAATATCACTTAAGGATTTCGACATACCTCTCACTCACTGTTTGGATAGTGCAGTGTTATACAACCGATTGGTGCGGAAAACGGCGAATAGTAATTGAGGGCGCACTACCCGTTGGCCACATTTTATGCCGCGCAAATCTGACTTGGTTAACGTCAAGCGCAAATAGTGTTTAACTGACCGCTTGATATCGCATTGTAACACTTTATGCTGTTATCTAGCATTTCACACATTGGAAGAAAACAGGCCTTAGTTTAGGAACCAAAGTGCAAGCGGGTTAAACGATGGAAAATGAGCATACATATACTCAGATCGCAGACAAGCGAGTGCAAAAGAAAGAGAAGTTTATATTTGAACACTCACCAGACAATTTCGAATGAACAACCATTATTCCTAAAAAATCATTGTGCAAATGACAGTTTGTTATGCATATATATATATATCGAATACCACTCCAGAGACAACTTGAATTTTAGTTACACTTAAAACAAACAGCTCTGAGAACAAACAACTCTCACCAAAATTAGTGGTTTTGCGTAATATGTTTAATTAAACGAAGTGTTTCACCGTCTATTTGAGTATGCAGAACTTTGTTTGTGACCCCTTTTGTAAATTAATTTATATGCATAACCATTTCTTCAGCCATATAGTCTAATTAAAATTTCAACCTTGTTTTATAAGTAGGTTAAATAACCGATGCAAGGTTACTGTACGCCACAGTAGAGATAGAGCAACTTATTATTTTGAACATTATATCAGCAATCGGATTGCTACATGTAACCAGCATCAAGATACATGTGTTGTAATGGACGTAATGAATATCTGCAATCCGACCAAAATCATAAACAATAAAAGCAAGTGAACCTCAGCGTTTTACTCTATAGTGAATTTAAGCGTTTTATTACACTGTCCTACGGCGCATCATCAGCTACTTAGTTATGCTTAAACTTAGTTATCTATTGAAATTTCGTCGAGAGTTTAAACGGATTAATGTGCTGCTTTTTAGAATATTTATTATTGTCGCGTTTGGTAACCTAGATTAGATATGAAGGTACGTTGCACGTCATTTATTCGTAATGTGCTTACTCCGAGTACAGCAGATCGACTGTTACTACGGTCGTCGTTGCATTGCAGGTCAGTATATGCCATAAATCAAGTTATCTTTGTTTCCTTAACAATACATTTCATTCACGCATGTTATTACAACCACTTAAAAAGCCACGTAAATCTCTGCATGCATAGAATGAAATAAGTATCTTTTGTTTACCTGCGGTTTCATATTGCTTAATCGCACCGTGCAGAGAAGTCTTGCGGCTGGATTTTATTCATTTTGGGACATACAGTACTAAATAAATTCTCTGAAAGGTCGAGATTAAATCAGGTGAGAAATATATCAAATTGTGTCCGAACGAACAAATTATCTGCAATTCTGGTTGTAAGGAAAATGGTCAACTGGTGGAAAATCCATTTTTGAAGCATTTGGTTTTCATTTTATTGGTAGCGCAGAAGTTTCCGCGATTGTTAGTTGACGAAACTGTGCTTTATTACCCTAAGGAATTCCACCTAGTACCGATTATCGTCCACAATCTGTGCTACCAACGTTTAATTGCTGCTCCATAGGATTTCGCACCTACCTAGAGAGCTTTAGATAATTCATTGAATAACTGGATTAAGCCGTGTAAGAGAGAGGAATTGAACTAATTCATCCAATGTTGACTTGGGGTAAAGACAAATGAACTCAGGTAAATAGTGCGATTAACAGCCACGCTATATTAGATTGGCTACCATTCTGATGCACATATACTCATCAATTTGATAAAGTTTTCATTTTCCCAAATGAACAAGAGAGAACGTGACATAATCGCATTAGTTCTCAGAGGTTTGATGGAGTGATCGATTCGACGCACTGGTCCACAGCAGGTTTAGAAGCAATTTTGGAATGCTTAAAAAAAAACGAAATTCTTGGTTATCAAAAGTTAAATTTTTGGTGCTACGAGTTTGACAGACTGCTTGATTGGTTTTAAATCGTAAACCGCTAAATCCGAAACGATATTGCAGTGAATTTCAGCAAATTGAAGTATGATTCATGAGCCTATGGCTTTATTTTTATGTCGTTTGCCAAATGCTATGGCATGGTTTTTAAACACGATAATAAAAGTCGTCAAGTCAAACTGTAAGTTTTATACACCCTTGAAGGGTGAATTTTTAGCGGTAACCCATGCGCGATCGAAATAGTAACGCACAAGAATACAAAGTACGTAAAACGGTAAAAATGGCGGCTAAACATATTACATATGTGTTACAGGATCACTTACATAATTTGCTGTTTCGTTCATAAGTGATATCATTCGGATCAAGCAGAAATTTAGCTAGATAAGTTACAACAGATGAGCCGCATGCCTGTGTGCGGTCATATATGACTCTGTAGTTTCAGGTGGCTCGTGACCATTTTGCTTATGTAGAAAATGGCTAAAAGATGTGGTAGCACATGAAATTAAAAGTTAGCAGTTGTCTTATTAAAGAGCGTACCGTTTTTCTAAAGCGATTGAAACTTGTGTTCTTAGATCAAACCCTGGTAACTCAATTTTTCAGCTGCCAGTTAAAGGTTACGCTAAAGCTAACAGGTTACAAAACAGCCTGGTCTCATTTAGAGAAAGCTAATCAGCATGTGTAACTATTTTGTAAAAGTTGTTTCGGAACTGAGAAACAAGTTGGTTAAACGGACTCAGATTTTTCTTTAGTTACGAATTATTTCGTTTACTCACTTTAGTCTACTGATAACATCAGATACACTGACAATGCCACTTGCTTTACTCACAAGGTACAGAACATATAAACGCGAGTATATGACAGAGCTATCCATATGCTGCCTAAAGCTACATCAGCAAATGGGCTAAACTAACATTATAGGCAAGAAATCGGATACGCACAATCCGAGTTCAACCGGAATGATTGACCGCCTTACGTTCGGGACAGCAATGTATAGAACCCTGTAAAACCAGGATCCCTGTCCATAACAGGTGTTCTGTTGCTATTAAAACGACTCAGAAACAAGGGATGGAATAAATCGACAAGTGCTTCATCAGGTATACATATATGTTTGAAATCTGAGTAAAATAGTAAGATTAACACTGCTTGACATACATGTAGTTAATTATTCCGCCGCTTATGTACCATACTCATTCCTCGAATTGTCCTTTCGCCACATCGTGCTAGCACTACCGATCGAAGTCAACATCTTGTTTAATGTACCTGCTAACAAATTCATAGAAGGACAAATACCTTTTTCGGCTGCATCCACGCTCCTTCCTTATGACATTTTTATCTATATTCAGTAGGCCATTAGAAAATATCCAACCAAATTTAGCTAAAGAGAACTTTGTTATCATTTACGTGCATACTGAACGTGAAGAGCGCACGACAGAAGAAGTGATGATATTCCATGACGAACAACTAGTTGACCTAATAAAACATCAAAAGAAAAAGACAAGAGTTAACAATGTGCAAATGTTTATTACTTGTAAGGTTTGATGCCAAGTATAATCTTTTGACTCAATTATTCGAAGGTTGTACAACAGGTATGATTATTTTACCCCCGTTCTATTACTATAAAAACCTCAAAGAAACCCTTAAAAAAGTACAAAATTTTCTATAGCCATAAAGCCGCTCTCATCTTGGTTTATATTTAACTCTAACTGCTCACTTGTTTTGTTATTCTAATATTGGCATGTTCACGAGAATCACTTAGTTGTCACTACCATATTACCTAAACATGAATTTCTAGAAAGTTTCCCTCTGGTTTTAAGGACGTTTATCGCCAAAACTACGAGAAAAACCATCAATATTAGTTGATTATTATCTAGCATATGCTTGTTTTGGTGTTTATTTCAACCGTGTTTCATTGGATTACAAATGCTTAATACGAGACTCTGAAGTATAATACACCAACTGGCTGTTCAAGCGCATGATTATAATTTGCTAAAACTACGTTTGAGACACAGTGTAGTTTAAAATATGACGATGCAATTGTAGCCGCTAAGTTGCTTCTCATCATTCTGAACTAATAGACCTTAACTTATCAAGCTGTTGGCTTGAGTTAATTGTCGAAAGATGAATAACCATCCTCCGCGCCAAGAGCTGTACGGCGTCACCCCAATTTTAAATTTAGAGCTAATAAGTACCGAGGCCTAACCCGGACAAAATATTATGTCTCATTCTTGTAAGCATTATTTGACCACTGTCTTGTTTGAATAATAAACCCCGCTTCGATTGTTTGCATTTTCTTTCAGGTTGCTAATGGACAGATAAAAGGACCATTCCTTTCGACGTTCACTATCTGCGTCGGATTTGGAGCAAAACCAATTGGACATCTTCAGGAGGTAATCTCAGTAAAACGTTTGCCAATTCCAAATGCCCTGCTGTGAACTCATTATCTGACCCTAAAAATAGTCGCTTTTGCTCTACACCAGCATGCAACCGTGGTGAAGATCGCTCTCCATAATTACACAGATAGTTATGTAGCAGACATAACGTCCATAAAACATCGTTTTTCACAGAATAATTATCATATTAAATGAACCATGACAGAAGCTATCATTATTTTTTGGTTTTGAATAAACTACAACTTTAGGGTGGTAGCATATAAATCCCAAATCTTCCATTATTTAGGCTGAGTCGAGACGAAAATTGTGGCCTTTAACTTATCAGTTGAAAGATAACTAGGTTCGTTTCAAAGATCATGAACTTGAATAGATTGTTGAAAACAAGGTACATTTTGTTGCATGAAAACGTGTGCTACCATACGTTACTTTGTTTAATATACCTAAGAAAGCAAACACTTCCAACGTGTACCTTTATTCCAGTTACACAAATGAATTTTTGTTAAAAGGTTTTGTGTTATTAATTTATGCTATTATGAATATACGTCGAGCACAGTCCAATAAGTTTGCAGGGAATATTCATAACTTATCTATCCTCAGCGTTTAACTTTGAATTTATATCAAGTCACAAGCGACTAATTTCAAGAAAAGGCAAGTCCATTGTGCAACATTCTAGTCTAACCACGTCAGAAAATGTGGCTTTTCATTCTCTTACTATGTTCTTGCAAAATAAAGTTGCGTAAATGTTTGAAACGCTATTATGGTACGCTAAAAGTAGGATATGTAATCAATCATTAGCATTCCTTAGTGGACGAGTGAAACGTAGGATTGCTGTCAACGCCGCGCCATATTAAATATCCATTGGTTTAGTGTTATGCTAACTGCTGTTGGATGAAACCATTTAGCATCCACCCTAACGACATTTAGCATGAAACAAAAATAATTAACATGCAAATGTTCGCGGTCCCAAATTCCGATACAATTTCACGCCATATTATTCGTGTTCAACCTGTTTACCGCTGCAAGAGCAACAGGTGCTCTTTATTTCAATTAACGGGATATAAAACAAAACAAAATCATTTTAGGTAGTTAAAATAGATTTGTAGTTTAGCAACTGGAGAAGCGCACTTAAAAAATCCAACGATTCACCGAGCAACCGAATTAACCTGTTTAGAAAAAGAACATCGAACATTTAACTATCTACTGGTAAAAGAGATGAGGCTTATAACAACCAATTTTCAAACTGGATGCGTTTGCTTTTCCTTGACATTCAAAAGGATCCTGGTCCGTTTGAATGTGGATTATCTGCTGCAAAGTAAGATTATCCATCTCATTCTTTATATGACCTAGGTTGAGCCTAGTGTGGAAAATTTCTAGCTAGCAGTGAATCGAAAGTTTTTAATCCGTTTGATCCCGCGACGTTTTTTATTCACTAAAGCTCTATTTCTCGGGACGTAATAAGTAAATAAATAAACTTTCCACTTAAGCGGATGACTGTGGTGCGACTACAAGCTCATTTCTTTCTAGAAAGATATACCACCGACAATTAATCGACTCTTAATATAGCACTCTCTAATTATTGTCTACAATCTTTATCAACTGCGCAATAGCAGTAATCATATACTACATCGTTGTTCCTCCCAGTTACCAGTTGCTACAATAGATTGTCGTTATAATCAATAAAAGAGTTGGCACTAGCATTGCAATTTCTCGTTCACGACAAACCTACTCGCATGGGAAACGTCAATCATTATAGAGAGATATCAGTTTCCACACATCCGGTTTATGATCGCGCTAGACCAAATCTCCGCATACATTTCGAGGAGTAGCTATAATTGCGATGAGAAAAAAGAACATTCAGTGTGCGTCATCGAGTGTTACATGTGTTAGTGTGATGTCACTGGTCGTATTGAACACTGCCATCAGCGATGTGTCACGTTGACTGAGCTAACTGGCTTCGAAGGTTAGACGTTTGCTGCTCCATTCCAAAATCAAAATTCAAGATGTAACTCTTGCCAAGTATTTGATTCCTAGTAACACTACTGAGGTATCTATATTTATTCCAATCTAATGCTTGCAAATTTATCCTTTTCAGGTTCCCGTTTTGTAATTCAGCCTCAACGCATCAATAAACCATAACATACAAACTTGGCAACACTGGAAACAGAGTTTGAAATTACTTCCGTGAACATTTTTAGGATGCCGTTTGCCTGCATATCCATTTTTACACAAGCTAAATAGAGAAAATATTAAAGCGAAACAGCTTTTCTCAACCTCTTCAGACACTCGAAATGCTGATGAACTGCTCCCAACACACACTTAAGACTGTGGAATTGTAGCTAGACTCCCCAAGCATTCCGTTAGTATGTTTCCTCGGCTAATCCGTTTGTTGATATATTTCCACACACTATGCACATTATGAACTATTTTCACTTCGTCACGGATAAATCAAACAATGCGCTATTAAATCGAATTAGTTTGCATTAATTGACTGCCTTTTTGAGAACTGCTTTGCTTGATGCCCTGAGTCTTGTAACAAAATTATTTGACTTAAATGAAGGTATAGATTTCAACGGCAATTTATTATGCTCATCTGATAAAATGATTGCTGTCAAGCATTTTAATGGCACAGCATTACTGTAAACTGTGAACTTTTGTAGAAAATATGCTACTATGAAGGATCACAACTAATCGCGGCGCCCTGTTTTGGACCGGTCTTAATGACCAAATAAATTAAACCTCAATAAAACGCAGAGATAAAAAAGTTGTTTACTTGAACTCGTCTGAATCGGCTAGGTATTTTCCATACACAGAACTTGGTCTGCGAAGTACAGAATGTTGTATTCATCCGGTTCTGTATTCGCCACTAGATGTAGGTCACGATAGACCGGAAGACCGGCAATAGAAAGCAGAGAGGGCTTAGGCGCCTGGATACACATCCAGCAAGAACGAATCTCAAGAAACAACGTCTCGAGTGTCCGCTGGTAAGGAGGCACCTGAAGCTTACTTAATTGCTATGAGCAGCAAAGCATAGTAGCGCGCGTCTGCAGTCAAGCTCACGACGTCAGGAGAGACGTCGAGGTTATGGTGGAGATTAAACAACCTGGCGCCGTTATTACATTGCCCCTTTTAAACAGGCCCTGTCCTCAGCGCCCGTGTTCCGCCTGTACGGTTTTAGCCTAGTAAACTGTACTACGATCGACAAACTTGGTTTGTCTGGTCGCATAATTCCATTGCTGAAGTCTGACAGTACGTCCTCTACCACAGTGGTCTTCCCAGTTCCGGCGGAACTGTGTGGGTCCGTTTGGTAGATTTTACACTGCTTTAAGACATGTTGTATCGTCCGGTTTGAAGGGGTTACTGAAGGCTTCGCGATAACAATATGCTTTCTGGTGACGTTGTGAGATTTGAAGATGTGCTTGGGCCAACTGGTTCGCTCGCACCAAATTGGACTGCATCTTGAGTACGTGTTCAGATGCGGTCATCCGTTTGTGGTAGACCGTCTGCAGTGAAATGCCCGGTGGTAATCACAGCTCGCGTCCCGTCATCATGAGGTGCGGCGTTTGTCCTGCGAAGGACTGGACATTGGCTTGATATAAAGTAGGCATATTGGTAGCTTAGAGTCCCATTCTGTGGTTCTTCCTTTGTCTATGTAAGATTGGCATAGTGCCTTCAGCGTCCAGTTCTTGCGTTCCATCGATCCGTTTTCCTCCGGGTATTGTGTGGTTGTCCGCGTATTCCGAATTGCAACTATCTGACACAGTTCGCTCATCAATGTGTTCTCGAAGTTAGATCCGCGAACGGAAGTTAACTGGTGGGGTGCGCCCACTTTGCCACCCACTGACTGAACAAACCCCTCACCAAGATCCATGCGCCAATGTTCTGGAGTGGAGCTGTCTTACACCACTTTGTAAAATAGTCAACCATGACTAAGACGAAACGATGGCATTGAGGAGTGTCCGGTACCCGACGGATGATGCCGATATCGACGGGTTCATTGGAAAAGCCAGCTGACTTAGGCTGTAGGGGTGCGTGGTGGGTTTTGTGACAAGGTTTTGCTTCGCGCGCAGTCTGAGCATGATACATAATAATTTGCCACATCGCGTCGTAAATGGGGCCACCAGAATTGACGGCGAAGTGCTTGTTTCAACATTTTATGGCCTGTTTGGGCCAACTCCTCATGCAAGCAGCGCGTAACATCTTGAGTTGCCGTCATGGGAACAATGAATCTGCGTAAGTAGTTTGGCCCATTATGGAAATGCATCATACATTTGATGAAGCGCAGATGTGGCCATAGGAACCTGAGGTATTTTGTCTCCCAAATAGTGCCACCGAGTTCGCGCCTAGATGGTCGGTTTCCCCACGTATGAATTGGTGGTACAACGGGCTTAACTCTGGGTCGGTAGACTGTAACTGAACCCAGGCTTCGGCTTTGTAGGTATCAATGATAACAAGATCTACACAAGCTCCTGTGCAAGCGGAACGTGGTCCATGGTGTCAGATTGGTCTGGGAGGCAGAGCATCTGTCTTAGTGTGCTTCGGACATGGGAGATATTGGCATCTAAACTCGTACTGTTGCAATTGCTCCTGCCAACCGACAACTTGACCTTCTGGATCTCGAAAGTGCTGGAGCTAAATCAAGGACTGATGGTCAGCGGGTACCATGAATTTGCGGTGGTGGAAATGCTATCTAAATTGTTTTATAAAGAAGAATAATGCGAGCATTATTTTTTGCGTCATACAATAGATACGGTCTCGTTGCGCTATGCTTCAGCTGGCGTATGTGATAACCGGCTCAATGCCATCCTCTGCGCGTTGGGATACTATGGCTTCGAAATCCGTGTTGCTGGCAGCAGTGTGCAGGATGAATTAGCCCGCAGTCGGGTGCCTATTAAGAAATTTAACACTGGTGCCTCGCACAAAGCGTTTCTAAGTCTCTCGAAAGATGTTTTCTTGGCTTCTTCCCAAGCAAAAGTATTTTGGCTTGCAAGCGCTCTGTCAAGGGAGCAGCGTTCGTCACAAATCTTCGTACGAAACGCCAATAGTAACTAGCGAGGCCAAGAAAACTACGCAACGCGTTTACAGTTGCAGGTACTTGCCAGGAGCATACCCGCTTGACCACCGCAGGATCGTAGCGTGCCCCGTCCTCAAATACAGCATGAACCAATTAGCTAACTTGCTTCTTAAAGAAATGGCATTTAGTGAATTTCGAGTTCAACCCCAGTTGTACTGGCCTGTCTAGAATGACAGCGATACTTTGCTTGTTATCTTCCACCGCTTTCCATGCACCGTGATATCATCAAGCTCCACTAAATAGTGGTTCAATATCAAATCTGCAAATGCAGTGCGCATCTACGGCTGAAGAGTGTCAATCGCAGTTGTCAAGCAGAAGGGCACCGTCTGGAATTCGTACAGTCCGGATGGGACAGTAATTGCCGACTTGCACCCGTCGTCCGGGTGGAACTAAACCTGCCAATAGGCGGACACCAGATCCAAGATTGTAAACCGGCGGGATTCCGTGAGGTCGATCATGGCATCTTCCATTCTTGATAACGGACCTGAATCCTTTGACGTAACCGAATTTAGCTTGCGATAATCTATACCAACTTGTCGCTCTCTGTTTTTTTCGTCAAGACCGATGAGTGATGCCCAAGCCGATTTCGAAAAACGAATAATATCGCGTCGTAAAAAGTATTCAATAATGCGTCTTAACTCTTCATAAAATTAAGGGGGCAACTGTCTAGCTAGCTGTTGAGTCGGTGGTGACTTGGCAGTGTCGATGCGGTGTTGTAAAAATTTGTACCGTTCTATATGTTTCTCGGACCAAGCGAAGGCACTTTGGTAGTTGAATAAATTGTCTTCCAATTCGCTGCCGGTAAATTCAGTAGCTCTGCCGAAATCTTCCGAATAAATCGTTGCAAATCAGTCTCTTCTGCCATAAAACACATCAGTGGACTCTTAGTAGAAGGGAATGGTAATGCATGCTTTTAGATTTCCAAGGTTTTACTGGCAAAGTTAGTTTAGGCTTTGAAACGGGAAAGGAAGTCTACTCCTAACACTACTTCTCAAGGAAGGTCGTTGACAATAAAAGCTCCATGTGCGACGGAAATTCCTGCTAAATTATTGTGTCTGTTTTCCAACCTAAGTATTTACTGCTGGTCTTGTTGGCTGTCACCAGGTTCACTGAACTGTCAAGGAAGATGTTTGCGTCGACTGGAACGATACGTTATCCAACTAGGGAGCATGTAACTCCTGTATCAACCAGCATGTTCGACAAGAGGAGTCCACATGATCCCATAGATGAGAGAACAGCTGCATAATGCACGCCAGACACAGCTGATGCAGTTAACGAACACCTTCGGGACCCCTTCTGTTGTTTGTGCTCACTAATGATCATAGTCTCCCGAAGTTCCTGCGACGTGGATCATTTTGCTGGGGTTTCTCCTCAGTTCGATACCAAGCCAATTGCTGCCAGGCTCCTACCGTTTGGTGCAGCTCAATGACACCCATAGCCACATCCGAGTGCTCAAGTTTCTCCCCTAATTTTAAAGCATCGTCCGATTGCTGTGCTGGGTGTAACAAGGAAGCGCGTTCAATCGACGACGTACTCACTCCCTCTGACAGCTGTTCCAGAAGACGTTCATCTTGCACTCCTCGATTATCGTCCGCAAACGCGCGCTCTGTGAGGCGTTTCAGAGCCCAAAAGAAAAATCTCAGACACGCGTCTGGTTTTTAGTAACGGAAGTGGAATGTTTGGTGTAGTTGCTTGGAAAGTAATGCCAAGTCTAGCAGCCACGCGAGCTCCTCGAATATAGGTGCGTTAACCTATTTCTCCACAAGGTCAAAAGCTTCATCATTCGGTAATTCCAGCAACATATTTTATTGCATGGTCTCAGGGAAATTCAGGATGAATGCTGAAGCTTGCTTCGTCCCACTGGGATAGTGCATGCCAAAAGAAGATGTTTTGGATGGGGAATCGCGGGAAGGTTTTGGACAATAATGTGTCGACAATCAAGATGCTCCAAGCTAATTTATAACTTTGTCAGAATTGAAGACAGCTCCGTCCCAGCCGCTTCTGCAAATTTAGCAGGCACTTCGGATGTCTTTCCTATTACTTCCGACATCTGGAACAAGGAGATCCTTGCTGATTCGCCATATATATAGTATCCCACGGGTTCGGTGTACTAGGTTTTTCAGTATTCGTTACCAGATGTA